GCTGTTAGATGCTGCTGCCCCAGAAGATGCCCAAACATCATGTCTCTCTATGCACTGAGAGTTATGCTCACTCATAGCTAATTGTGCACAGTCATTAAACATTTTCATTCCACTGCAGCTTTGAAATTTTTCAGTGTCATTTAAAAAAAAACCCTATGTAAACATTACCAAGTGACTTCAATTTGTTTCACCATCTGCTAATATGAGAGTTTGACCCTCCTGCACTGCAGCTGGTGTTCTTTCATTTCCCTCATTTTATATTGGGGGGGAGGGACATAAAGGCAGACAGGCAAAATTGTTTAAAAATGTAAATTCTGCCTGCAATAATTTAGATAATTTGTATATTTTCCATCCACTGGGGAGCATATATACAGCCATTCTTGGCGAAGCTCCCATTTAGATGCTTTCATCGATTCCTGCTTTTAAAACAGTAGCCACCAAGAGAGGAGGCAATGTGTACAAATATTTAAGGACCAAACCACTCTCCCTTTTGAACCCTGTGTTCTTTTGACTGTCTGTTTACTGAAAAAGAACATTGTCAGCAGACGTGTTGACAACAGAACGAGAGATTCTTCTTTCCCATTATGGGCGACACAGACCTGTTGCTGGCTGCTGTGGAGATGAACCATTGCATTCCACATATACTGCTCTCTGGCTCGTAAAAGTGCTCTTTGCAGCCATTAGATGGCAAGAGAGACTTTTTCAGTAAAAAAAGAGAGATTTGGAAGGTGGGAGGCATGGGAGTGGGAGCCACCCTCCAAGATTCAGAGTGGGTATGTGCAGTCCTCAGACCTCTGGAGTCAACCATCACCCACATCACTAAAGATAAGGGATGTGATTTTCCAATTGTCTGAACAAAAAAACCACCATATTTCTCCATTGTGGGAGTTCTGCCTACCTTATCAGCACCATGCAAATACCTGAATGGGATACACCAGGGAAAAAGACCTAAATTAGAAGGTTTTGAGGCTTTGCTAGGCCAACCTCCACCCAAATGTCCTGCTTTTGTTTCAGTGCTAGCTGGGATTTTTCTTTCCGAGCAGGACACTTAGGATGGAGTTTGGCCTAGCTAAGCCTCAAAGCCGTCTATCTAATTTAGGTCTTTCTCCCGGGAGCATTACATTTAGGTATTTGCAAGGTAGGTAGAATTCCCAGAATTGAGAATTATGGTGCTTGTGGCTCAGAAAATCCAAAAATCTCATCCCTACTGACGACTATTTATGGTTAATTGGGCTTGTATGCATAACTGTACTGTACACCGCACTGTGCCCTATTATGTGCATCACATCCCAAGTACTTTTGGTAATAAAAAAGCCATTACATGTAATGCAGCATACTATCCACTGTAGTGGACATGACTAAGTGATAAAAGAAAGTGTAAAGGAATGTTGAACTATATGAGATTGATTATATAATCATGGGTGCATACTTTCTGCAAACAGAAATGTTACCAGCACATGCACGTTCAGATGCCCTGGAAGAGAAAATGTCAAGACTCCATTCAAATTTGCCTATTGTTTAGATGCCATGTAAGGGAAAACATCAAGGCTTAATATGCCAAAGAGAACAGAAATGTTGCCATAAGGAGAAAGCCCCAATGAAATGCAACTGTGAGGGTCAAATATCAACCTGGCCTATTAAAATGGTACATAGCGATTACAAAAGCACAAAATGGCACCTTGGCACAACTCCCACATATTTCATGAGTGCCAGAGACATTCCTTTTGCACTTTGGAAAATTTTTCCTTTCCAGAAATAGGATTGCCTGAGCAATCAGACATTCAACTTAAGGCCATGCTTAGCTGCCAATTGACCATCCACAAAACAAAGTCATGTAATTTGCAAGATATTGAGGGGGAAAGAGTTTCTGCTAGAACAAACAGTTCAATCTAGTTCAACCTATAGTCTAAAGCAAACTGTTAAAGGCCATTGAAGTAACCAGGGACAAATTTAGTTATACGAATCAAGGCAAACTCAAGATTTTGAAAACGGCTGTTTTCTAACAGATAAATACCCAAAATCCTGTCAGTGTAATAAATCACACCAGAATAAACCTATTGAAACAATGAGAGCGAGTCAACTCCTCGACAAATTCCATTGACTCAGATGGCCTAGTGTAATTTTGACTTATTTTTGCACTATAAGTAATAGTTAGAGTAGGCCATTTAAATCATTGGTATTCATGGAGGATTTGACTCACAAAATCCCCATTGATTCAGTGAGCCCACTGTAGTACAATTTATTACACGAAGCAACAGGATTTTAGCCAAAGTATGCAATGGACATTAGAAAATGTTTAGCTTCATTCATCCTCTTGACAAGGTAGAGGGGGGATTAGGTCCTCGCTTAACTGTAGAAGATCCATCACATCAGACTTGAGCATGAAGCAGTGATGAAACTTCAAATGACTGTGAATCACCAATAAAACTATGTACTGGACCAAATTAATGCGGTCTGATAAATTGAATGGAAATTCTTGAGATTAAATTCATGTTAATTTGTCTCAAATGATTCCCTTCTCCCAGCTCTGTAGTCAAAGTACAAATAAATGCTTACTTTTTGTTGCATTATGTGATTATCTATCATTGTAAAGAATGCTTAAATTCTCTATCGGCATTGCTCACTGAATTCTCTACTTGGCATTAGCACAGAATGCAATCCAAAGTCCCGCCTTTCAGTTTCCTATTGCCTCCCCATTGGTTTCTTTGATTTCATAAGATATTCTGCACATGTGATGTCCTTCGGCTGCAACTTGGCACATAACTGTTCCAGAGCTTAGACAATTTATACTACAGAGGATTGGATCCAGTTTGCAATCTTTGCTAGAAGAAACCCATTGGCTCATTTATATACCTGCTGATGTACCACTCAGCAACTGGTTCAGTTAGTCTGGCTGGGAATGCTGACAGGATTTAAGGCCTGGAGTCCAATGCCTTGAAGAAACAAAAAAGTGGTTGCTTGGGCATGGAAGGGATGAGTGTCCAGGAACTGTGGTTTGTTTGTTTTTTTTAAAGTAACTTTTTGAAGCTCTGTTCCACATCTATACTTAGGGTAATACAAACTATAATCCAATATAACTCATTGCATTTCTCTGAGAGATTGTAGGAAACACAAGCCTGTAAGAGTTCTCAAGATGTTAGAAAACGTTCATTAAAGTCTTACAAGACTGGCATTCCCAGTAATAACAAGCTATGGCTGTTGACATTAATAAGGCCAAATTTCAAAGACTGAAGAGTATCCACTGTGACATATGCACAGGCCTCATTTTGCAGGACTGCAACGAACTTTAATTTTGCATTTGCACTATAGAGGTACAGTGGACCCTTGACTTACAGACGGCTTGACTTACAGACTTTTTGAGTTACAGACTTCTCTGGCCGCAAAATTTAGATTTGACTTGCAGACTGAGATTTGACTTACAGACCAGAAAAAACCCAAAATGGAACAAAAACGGCCTGTTACGGGATTAATCGATTTTCAATGCACTCTAGCTCAATGGAGACTTGACCTACAGACTTTTTGACCTGCAGCCACCGTTCCAATACGGATTAATTCTGTAAGTCAAGGGTCCACTGTACTGCCTGGACTGTATTTTCCCTGCCTTCCCTGAACCTTTCTTGACCTAAGAAAAAAAGAAACAAAATATCTCCCTCTAGTGGTCGAAGGCAGAATAGCAGATTCCCATTAGTTTCTATGGACGGAAAAGAGCAGATACGGATCAAATGGTTCTCAATGCATTCCTATGGGAAATGCAGATTTGACCTGAGAACTTTTTGACTTGAGAACTGCCTTCCAATACGGATTAAGTTCTCAAGTCAAGACCCCACTGTACTGGAACTTTCATAAAGAGGTAGGAGACTGAGAAAATTGTATCCACTTTTAAACACATCCAAAATATAATTACTTCACATGAATAAATAGATGGACAATTTCCCAACAATAAGACTCCCTGATAATTGGCAGAGAGGAGAGAAAATGGGAAATATCAGCTTTTCAAGAGATGAAATAGATTACTGTCCTACATGGATACTGAGGTGTTTTTTTTTAATCATCTAAAAGCCCAAGTATTAATGGATTGGTTAAAAAAGAAATACACTGGAGGGCAAACTGAACATAATGACTTTATGCTGTGGAGAGGCAATGATTCCATCAATGAGGCTTTGATAACAAATGGAGAAAGAGAAAGAAGTAAACCAGACCAGTGTTTCCAGAAAAAGCACCCATTAGTAAATTGATCAAAGGAATTCACACATGAGTGAGAGATATAAGTATAATAAACATGGACACTTTGGTAATTCAGTTTCAATGACTGGTGCTAGTAGATCTTACTGGGAGATAAGCTCCAGAAAGATCCCATTTGGTATGTCTAAAACCAGCATTAACTTCCGCTTCTCAACACTGACCTTGTCCACCTCTAGCTGGCATTGGCTTAGTTGTTGCCTCCTTAATTTACAACAGCTTGCCAAATAATAATAATACTTATGCTTGATTCTAATAACAGGCATTTGAGCTTAGTTCCCAGAAATATGGCACATGAACAGGATTCAAAATCATGGCAATTCTCTTTTATATATGAAAATCATAATTTTTTTACCAATCTCTAGTATGCCCAGACATTATTATTTTGGCAAAAAAGAGGACAGTTCCCAGGTCTGAGCACAAAGAACCAGTTTACAGTTCCTGCAGAGTTGGTTACAAACAGAATAAGAATGTGCGGCTATTATTTTTTCCTTTTAATCTATAATATTTACAGTATTGCACTTTACTGCACTTAATTGCATTTTCACCAAAATTAACACTGCATCATTATTATGCTTTTGAAACTGTGTCCATCTCTGACAGATGAATCAGATCCTATAAACCAAGAAGGGTTTCTGCAGAGATCCCAATGTCCAGAAATAAAAAGAATAAAGTTAACCTGTTTGTATCGTGCAAGCATTACTGCTTGTTCTTAGATAAAGAGACTTGTCCATTACTCTTCCCATCATTTGTATCACCACACATTTTGGCATCTTCCTCTCACACACAAACGCTTCATGGTCGGTTTTCTGGTTGTTGATCCTTGTGAAGGACGTAGCCTTTTAAGCCGTTTTGTTCTCGAGACAACTGCCTTGTCTCAGATCTGAACTTCCACATTTAAATTGAAACCAGTTCTGCAGCAGCAGCTCCTTCAGGATGGAAGAAATTGATGAGACTGAAAGAATATTGTTGACAACAAAGTAGAAATGTCATCTTAATGGAGACCAGCCCCAAGGATTTTTTTTAAGCCTTTTTAAATTTGTTTCGGTATAATAGGCAATTTTTGAAACGATGGTTAAAGTTAGGCACATGCATAAAGTAGCAAAAACTGGCAGCAGCAAATGGTGTCAAGCTGACAGGATGATCACTTTGGCCGCTTGTCCCAAATGCCAGTTGTCCCAAGATTCATACATGCCACATGGTCTGGAGAGTTTTTTTCCCCCTCATTTACTTCCCGATAATCCAAACATTTTCTGGATTATCGTTGTTGTTTCATCATCGTCATTATCATCACCATCATTATTGAGACTTATAATTAGGATTTGGACGCCCTTCAACTTAGTACTATGCATCTGGTGGCAGAAGAACAGTTTAAACTGCAATCATCAGCACGAAGTGCATTTCAATTAAAATAAACATAAGCTAGGCCAGTGAGGCCTTCAGTCCTCAGATCAACTGAATTAGTTGCCAACATCTCTAAATGACAGAGGAGGGAGGGAGGGACGAAAGACCAAGCCAGTGCCGATTGTGTGTCTACAGGTACTTCCCGGCCTTTGAAAAAGTAACCATCATCCTTATCCCAGCCAAGCTTGAGTGCTGGTTAGAGGCGCGAGAGCTATCGTCCATCTCTGGCAACAAAAATGGTTTCCGGGATGGAAATGTCAAAGCCCCAAGGCCTCAGCATGTTTCCGGGCCTTGAGCCTCAAGTCGGCGATACTGGAATTCTTGCTGTTGCTCTTGGCCGCCGCAGCCACTACGGCGGCAGCAGAGGCAGAATCGGCCAAGGAGGCGATAGGCAGTCCAAAAGGGGGTGGAGGGAACATCAGGTAAGGGGCATGAGCAGCCAGGTGAGGATGGAGGTGAGGGTGAGCATGGGTGACGCCTTCCAGTTGTAGCTGAGCTTGGACCTGGAAGAGGGAGAGGAGGAGAAAGAACCACACAAAAGGAAGGAAACCGTTAACAAAGGTGCTTCCAAGAGGGCAGCTGTAGAAGGGCAGTTCTCTGTATCTGTAAATACATGCATAGCATTGCTGCTATAAGTCTGAGAAGGCCTAGCTTGTTACGGTACAAGTTTACATCACGATGGACACAGATTTATATCTCCTGGCTGGCTTCCTATATATGGGTAGGTGAGGAAATGGATCCAGTGTGTCCAGTGGCAGGACTGGCCAGTGCTGGCTGGTGAATTCTGAGAATTGTAGCCCCCCCTTTTTTTTAACTTTCTCAAACCTGGTTCTCCCATTTTCATGTGGTTCTCACTTTCTGCTTTCCCACTTCTCCAGACACTGGGGGCCTACCTACTCTGGCACAATAGACTTCCTGCCTAGAGATCTCTTCCTCTTCTATCTAGACTATGTGTACCTGTATTTCCCAAAGAGTATCTGCTCTGCCATGCCACAAGCTTCACCCATGCTGGACTATGGCACCGTCCATTGTTGGATTTTACTCCACCTATGATACACGATGCTAGTTGGATAGCTCAATGGTTAGGTATCTTGCTATGATGCCAGAAGTTGGGAGTTCGGTTCCCCACTGTGCCTTCCAGGAGAAGAGCTGGCCTGTGCGGCTTTGGGCAAGCTGCACAGTCCCAGGATGACCCCAAAAGAAGGGAATGGTCAACCACTTCTGAGTACTTTCTACCTAGAAAACCCTGAAACGTAAGTCAGAATTGACTTGACACACACAATTATTCTCCTGGGAGACTACAATCCCAATGGACTTTTCAGTAGGTCAAGGGCCTTCACAGGAAAACATCTCCCGCTCTTGCTTTGAGACATCAGTTGCTTCTTAGGTATGTCTTTGGGGATAAGTGGGGATCCCTGCCCATTTGTAGTTGGTGAACAAAAGATCTGTTAATGCCTATTTTGTCTTCTGAACTGTCATTGCTATCTGCAGGTGCCCATGGTAGAAGATGCTCTTAGAGAGGTCTCTGGCTCTGCATACCATATCACAGACTGATTAAAAAGTAGAAGCCTCTCATCGAAATACATCTATACCACTTGTTGTACATCAGCATTTTAATGCACCTGTGCACAGTGCCACTGTTGAGATACCATGATCAATCTGATGACAGCCCTTTGATTTGTCACATAATCAACATACTATTTTCCTCCCACCCACTTTCCAGTTTCTGTTTCTGGCTCTGCTGCAATCCAGCTACTCCAGACACAAGCTCTTTCCCCCTCCAGAGTGTGATCATCAGGGAGGGTTCTAGGCTACAAAGCTTTTATCCATCAGATTAAGGCAGACAGAAAGTATGGTTAAATAATTTCAACACTGAATATGAATGGGTTTAAATAGGGATTCATTTTTAACTGATACTGATCCTTAGCAGAATTATGCTCTAGAGGATGCTAAAAATGCTGCAGACATGGTATCTGGCCTGTAAGACGGCTTTAAAATAAATCTGCTCTAAAAGAACTATAAAGCCCAGAAAGTATGGGAATGAAGGGGGAAGGAGGGAGTGGAACAGGGTGAGATGAGATGGGTGGAGGGATTACAACTCCCAGTTTCCTCCAACTTTTAAGAGACTCTGGGAACTGGAATCCCAAATAGCAGTTTTCAGGCTTTTATCTGGCACACTAATTCTTTGGATTCTTTGGATTCAAGAATGACTTCCTGTTTAAACATTTATTAGGATTAAACCAAAAGGGCATGCCTAGGGTTGCAATGCTATGCCCTTACCTGGAATTAAGTGTCATTGAACTCAGTAAGAATTACTTCTGTATACTAGATAGGCACTGTTGGAGGAGGATGCCATTCCAAAAATAATTATGTATGGCTGTTTCCACTAATTAAGAGCTCGCTGCTGTTTTGTCACCAACTCTGCTTTTAATTTTAGAATAATAAGTATAAATCCAACCGACATGACTATTACATCTTCATCAGAAATATTGTACTTATTGAATTTCTATTTCTCAGACAATACAATAGTCCTTTCCTTGCCGGGGGGGGGGGGACTTTCTAGTGTGTTGAATGCAAAGAAAAAAAGAATAGTGGCAAGTACACCCAAGCCACTAATTGAATGGAAAGCTCCTTTGCAGTATATGATGCTTTCTCACAAATGAGGAGAACTTTTCTCCCAGGGAGCCCAATTGTTTAGCCACCCATCATCCCTGTGAGAGAGGTTTGATGAGCCAGAAAGAGGCTGGTTGCCCAGAGTTACCATATGGAGCTTTATAGCTTCATAGCCCCCCCCAAGAAAGTTCTACAGAACAACCAATTTATTTCTCAGGTGGTGGTGGTGGTGGGGAGAGAGATGGCCTACTTTAAGGCTAACAATGCAATCTTGCACATCTTACTTATTTTATTTATTTATTTTAAATATTTTTACCCAGCCTTTCTCCTTAAAAAGGACCCAAGGTGGCTTACATGATTGAAAGGCAATATTTAAAGCTGAAGACAATGTATATAGCAGTGGGTCCTAAGGTCTGGAGGCTCTTTACTCTTTACCTCTTTTCTCAAAAATAAGTCAAATTGAGTTTAATAAATCTTTCTCTTAGGTATAAGTTTACAGCCTTAAAAATGAGGGCTAGGGCTCACACAGTGGAATTCCCCACTCCTTCCAAAAATGTTTTGCAGCAGGAATGGCATAGTCATGCTCAAACCCTAAATATTATGGTAAGGAACACTAAAATGATGCACATTAATCACTCTGATCAGTCTGATCTAAAGCTCCGTATAATTACTCTACAATTGTGAGACTCTGAATCAAGGATTTTAACTCCAACCACTGCCTTGCACCCCCACTCTGTCTGACTCTGTCTCCAGATGATAAAAACTGGTCTTTGCCTTAGGTGGAGATTTGATCTTTCATTTCCAAGGAACATTGAATCAACCTTTGTTAGCCTGACCTCAGGAAGTGGAAAGCATTAATAAACAAGCAGTTAAGGATGAGGACTGGCTAGCAGGGAGACAGGCAGTGGCAGAGATGTTGACTGAAGGAAGTGGGGGCAAATTGGGTTCTGTGCCATCCACATGGGGTGTAAACTCGGTCTACTTCTTCCTCATGGTTTCTGCACACGAGTGGTTTTCAAACCAAGGAAATGCTTTGCTTATTACAATGGCAGAAATTTACACCTGTTGATCCAACAGCAGCAATTATCTCACCCAGAACAAGATCAACAACACTCCTGCTAGTTTTATACATGAGACTTAAATCTGGGTGGACTATAATACCAATGTATAAACTATGTCAGGAAGATGACATTAACTCAATGTTGCTTCTATTTCTGTTCCAAATTATATCTTGCACTATTATTTTTTTTAAGAAGAGGTAGCTCTTCAGTGGATCTCACCTACTGTGCCATTACCAGAAGGTTGTTCTCTATTCATCCATAGTGATGATAACCTTTACCTCCATACTGTGAAATGCTTTACCGTCACCCAAGCCACTATTAAATGGCGCAGCTCCAGGAGCACAAGGCACAGTTTTGCAGCCTGGTGATTTTAAAACATTTTTGATTCCCCTTCCAGCCCAAGCTTTTCAGTGAAGAGGAGTCCCAGACGACTCCAACGCTTGCTTTTTTTTCATAATATTTTAGGGGTTCAGTGAACCTATCGCTCAATGTTACTTCAGATAGCACAGAGTAGTTTAGGTCGTGTCTGACACACAGGGACACAGCTCCTATTTTACAAAATTGCCATCCTTAAAAGTTTAGTTAGGCTGCTGCTCTCAACTGTAGAAATAAAACACACACCCGGCTCCAGTACTCATGTACTTAGCGAGGCAGGACGCGTGGGGCGTGCGCTCGTGGTTCTTCATCTAGCCCTCCCACGGGTGTCCGTGGGACGGGGAAACTTCCGTGGAGGTGGACGTGGCAAACACGTCCTCTCCTCCACGGAGACTTTCAAGCCCGATTCGGGAAGGGAAAACGTGAGAAACTGGCACACTCCCTCCTAAAGCGCCCCTACCTATCGAGACACCAGTAGGGAAGAAATATAGAACGATTCCCATTTAGTTTCCTTAAGAAAACAGGGAAGAAAGTATTGGAAGTTTCCTTTCCCCGTTCGTATTTGCCCCGAAGAGACAGGACATAACCGTTTGCTGAATGGTCAATTTCACATTTATTAGCGCCTCACGAAATTAATCAGGGACAATAGGTCCCTTTATGGAATCCATGCGGCGGCTGGCTGTCGTTTGGCTAAGCGGACCGCCGCGGAGCACGGATTTCTCCCCTCGAGGGCGAAAAGACGAGACTCTCGAGACAAGGATCCCGAAGGGCAGGGCGGTTGTGGGTGCCTGGCCAGCTCAAGGATATCCCAAGTCAGTCAGGGAAGGCCCCGACTTGGAAGATCAACAGACCTCTGGCCTCCTTTCGCTTTCCCTATAGGGTTGTCGTAAGGGGGGGAGCTATGCCTGCAAAAGGCAGCCCAACCAGGGACACTTCCGACCTATGATGGCGCAAAGGTGCGGCGATAATGTGCAAGCTTATTTAGTTTTATTGATCTTTCCCACAAAGCCCCTTTTGAAGCATCTGTTGGAGGAAAGGGAAATCGGCCTCTTTCTCCCCAACCCCCGATGGGCTTCAAGGCTCCGGCCTCCCCGACTAGCCACGGCTACAGAGAAATGTGCCTTAAAACCGTCCAGATTGATTTTTTTTTCCAGACTCATAGTAGATTATAGCCCCGACCTGCACTACACTACGGTAATGAGAGAGAGAGGGAGTCGATTTCGGGCCCTTCTTCTGCTGATGTTTTGGACTATTATAGCCCCGACCTGCACTACACTACGGGAATGAGAGAGAGAGAGGGAGTCGATCTCGGGCCCTTCTGCTGCTGATGTTTTGGACTAGAATGCCCATAATCCTTCCCTCCTGTTTCAAGACCGATGAGA